ATGTTGGTATTGTTCAGGATTCAATGTCTGCATGAAGCTCCCAACATCGCCAGTGGTGGTTTGCTCTGGAATAGAATCAGAAATTTGGTTAGCCACTGCATTGTTTGATTGAAAATTATAACTTGCTTGATTTCTTGAATTCGTTCCTATTTGGCTAGTTAAACCTGATTTCTGCTTTGGCTTGTATCTTGGTGGGTAGCCATGGAGTTTATAACATTTATCAATGACATGGCCTCCAAATCCACAATAAGTACAGACAGGTCTTTCCCTCTTCTGATTCTTGCTATAGGATGGTCCAACATTCATCCTCTTTGTATAATTATTGGCATAGAAAGCCAAGGAATCCGTAGATTCAGCATGACTGTTTACAACTCTTTGATGTTCTTCTTGGCTAATCAGTGAGAACACCTTATAGACAGGGGGAATATGATCCATAAGCAGTGGTTGTCCTCGAACTTGAGCATAAGACTCATTTAATCCCATTAGGAAGGACATGACATATTCCATGTGGTAAAATTCAGCTAACTTCTTATTTCCTCCACATTCACACTTTTCACAAGAGCATGAAGGTCTGTAGTTGCTAAGTTCCTCCCAAATAGCTTTTAGTTTAGTGAAATAGACACTAATAGACATCCGTCCTTATGTGTGATTCATTAATTCACGCTTTAGTTGAAAAATTCTTGGACCATTCCTTTGTTGAAAACGTTCCTTAAAATCAGTTCAAATTTCATGAGCAGATTTAAAGTCTATTATGCTAGTTGAAATGTCCTTTGATACAGAATTAAGGATTCGTGAAATAACAATATTGTTATTACAAATCCATGAATTAAGGAGATCCATATTATCTTCAGGCCGACTGATGGATCCATCGATAAATCCCAATTTATTCTTCACTGATAATGCTATAATCATAGCACGACTCCAGCAAGTGTAATTCTCACCTCTTAGAGGCTATGAAGTGAGAATGAGACCAGGACTGTCTGAGTGATGAAGATAATATGGACTGGAGCCATCATCGATGGCGGAATGACTAACTGATGAAGACGAATTTTGGTTTGATTGATTCTGATCTAAGATGCCTGCCCTAATGAATCAGTCGATTTGCCAGAATCTAATGGCGAAGTTGAGAGTGCATTTGCTCTGATACTATGTTCAGATTTAGGATTCATTTTAATAAGGTCAACCTTATTAAGTGAAAAAGTCCAAAATCTTTATAAATTGATATTTATTTTAGAATTAAACTGATGTGAGATAGCACATCCCTTAACACTCTTCTCTACCCCTTGTTTTGAGCTAGAAGATGTGCTCTTATATTGATGTTAGAAGTGCCCTTAGAATTACTCAAAAAGCCCGCCAAAATCCCTTAAAAATGATAAGAAAAAGCCCTAAAACTTGTCCAACTGTGGTCAATCCTAAACTTTCCAATTCATTTCAATTTGGTAACTACTTCATGATTTTTGTTCGATTTTGTTCCTTTTTCGTCCTAATCTTCAATATTGATCTCATAACTTCTAAAAACATCCATGTTGATCCCCAATCTTCGTAATTATTCGAAATTGGTCTTTCTCAAGTTCAGAAATGTGCAATTTAGTCTCCAAACTTTTCAAAAGTTGAATTTCACTCTCAAAACTTATGACTTCCTACGATTGCTCTCTAAATACTTCTTATAAGTTTCATGCAATTTGGTTGGTCTTCAAATGTAGTAAATCAACTCCAATTTAGCTTAGATCCTTTTTCTTGCTCCAAGTGCCTCGAAGTCTGAATTTTACATATAATAACAATAGTTGAATTAAATTAAGTAAAAATCTGCTCAAATTTACAACTATAATTCATTTTTAATAGCACAAATAAATATGTAAAATATACTTTTTAATTACTTATTTTCAACAACAAATAGACAACTTATTTATTTCACGAGAAGCATCTAGTATGGTTCCAACCACAGACACCACTCTACAACCTAAGCCAAACTGAGTAATGCCGGTCAACATCTCAATAATTGTCTTCGTCGGTTTGCATTTTATCAAATCAAATCTAAATACTACACACAAAGAGGGTCACAGCTAATTAAGCCAACCAAAGGATAAAAACCAAAAGTGATGGCGACTCAGCAAACTGTGCCTAGAGGCCCAAGACAAATAACCATTATATTCATTATTTCGCATATTTGGTAGAGATTTGAATTCAATTAAAATTAACTTTTTGACCGTTATTTTATTATTCCAACTGTTATTTTTAAATTCTTCTCTCACAAGTAGGACTCACTTTATCTCTAACGATTAAAAAATTAATTAACAAAATCTCTACCAAACAAGCATTTATTATCCCGACTAGGGAAAAGAGAAAAAAAGAAGAAAATTTTGAAATTTTGAAAAATGACAATTTCTTCAACCTGTACATAGTAGTGGTGTCCCCACGCCACGTGGGAGAAAAAAAATCTGAATGCCCACAAAAACAGATGGAGAATAAAGGGTTGTATTAAGCTGGAATCTTTCTATGTGATTTTGCTTTTCGTTTCGTAGTTCAGTCCATATGTCCATTAAAGCTTCAAAAGCATTGTATAATTGCAAATATTATGTCCTAAAAAGCTTAAAGATAGAAGGAGAAAGTAGAAGCAAAATTCTGTCGGTTAAAACTTAAACAGTAGTTTGGCACTGATTTTCATAAAACCCATGTCACTAGCTTGCCTTTCTCTGTGAATTAAAAATTTTTCACATGTTAAATTGTAACTGATACATCCTGGTAAAGCCCGCAAATCACGTTTTCGAGTTGAAAAGTTCAAGATTTGTAACGAGCAAGGATTTTAAACTTGCAGGAGGAAAATGCATGCAGAGAATCTTGAAATAGTTATGAAGCCCTAGTTGAAGTTTAAGGTTGCTTCATTTGAAGGTAATTTAGCAGTTGGTGAAGTCCATCAAGACTACGTTTGAAGATTGTGTTTGTGATTACTTCATTTGAGGATTATACTGTTTCTGACTTAGTTTAATCTTTTGCTTTTGATTTTTTTAAGGTAATTCATCAGAAATTTGTTCAGAATATTTTCTTGGAGGATTAGACTTGGGCAAAGGTATGTTGATTTTCTGAATTTCATCTGTAGTTTGGATCCTCAATTTTAGTGATTTTCTGATATTATTACAGAATATGTTTTTTCACAAATTGTTTCTTAATTTCTTCCTTTTTTTTTAAATTTAATTTAATTTGTATTGAATTCTACAATAAATGCAGGCTTTCACTGGAGAAGAATAAGTTCTTGTTCACAATTCCCATACTTTTCAAATTTTTTGATCAATAAATTCTATATCTTGATGGCAGAAAAAGTCAGCCATATAACATTTCTAGTTTTGTTTATCCTCTCAATATTAGTTACCTATACAGAGCAGCTTCAATCATCTCAAATACAGACCCTTCTGAGAATTCAACAACTTCTAAACAATCCACCCTTTTTGAATAGTTGGAATAATGTCACAGATTTTTGCAACTTGGAACCAAGGCCGAGTCTGACTATCGTTTGCTACGAAGGTAGCATAACTCAGTTGCATATTATAGGAGACGAGGGTGCTCCTCAATTACCCGAGAGTTTCTCCATTGATTCCTTTGTTACTACACTTGTTAGGCTTCCTAGTTTGACAGTCCTTAAATTGGTTTCTCTTGGTTTATGGGGGCCGTTGCCTACTAAACTTACACGGTTATCATCACTGGAAATACTAAACTTGAGTTCAAATTTCTTTCATGGAACCATACCGCCTCAAATTTCTTTATTGACACATCTTCAGACTCTAATACTCGATGGGAATAACTTTACTGGTGGACTTCCAAATGGCCTGGATTCCCTTTCAGCTTTGGCTGTGTTGAGTGTGAAGAACAATTCTTTATACGGATCACTGTCTGAGTCGCTGGGAAGTTTGGAAAACCTCAGGGTCCTTGCGTTGTCGAATAACAAATTCTCCGGTGAAGTACCTAATCTCAGCAGTTTGGAAAACCTTCAAATTCTTGATTTGGAGAATAATGCTCTAGGCCCTCGATTCCCTGTAATTAGTAATAAGATCGAAAGAATTGTGTTGAGGAAAAACAAATTCACATTTGGCATTCCAGAGAAAGTTCAATCCTATAATCAACTCGAGCACTTAGATATATCGTCCAACCGATTTGTGGGACCATTTCTAGTTTCCTTGCTATCCCTACCGTCGATTGCTTATGTAAATATTGCAGATAATAAATTCACAGGTATGCTTTTCGAAGATCTTCCTTGTAATCCTAGTCTCCACTTTGTGAACTTGACTTTGAATCTGTTGTCTGGAAAATTGCCAAGCTGTTTGGTTCCAAGTTCCAAACCTATGGTTGTGTCATATGCTGGGAATTGTTTGGCAACGGGAGATAAAAATCAGCATCCAATTTCGTTCTGTAAGAATGAGGCTCTAGCTGTAGGAATCTTACCTCATCACGAGAAGCGAAAAAAAGTTTCGAAAATAGCTCTTGCTTTAAGTGTAACCGGAGGAATTATTGGATCAATCATTCTAGTTGCTATAGCCCTTTTAGTAGTCAGAAATTTTATTGCACAGAGACCTCTAACAAAACCCCCAGTAAGATTTATAGAAGAGAATGCATCGACTAGCTACACCTCAAACTTTCTTCGAGATGCAAGTAAGCTTAGATTTTGAAATTATAAATTTGTTTCCTTTGCACATCTTTAAGATTGAAACACTAAACCATGCTGCTTGTCACCTGATCCCTCGTCTTAGGGTATATAACTCGAGCAACGATGCTAGGAGCACTTGGCCTTCCTGCTTACCGGACCTTTTCACCGGAAGAGCTTGAGGAGGCAACAAACAACTTTGATATATCGACCTTCATTAGTGAAGGATCTCATGATCAGGTATGGCAATAGATTAGCTTGAGTGTCAAGCTAATTAGATCACTACGTAGCAAAATGTATGCTAATCGATCTTGAACTTCTTTCATTTTCTTGACAAGTTATTCAGAATAATTTGTAAAGCACACCTAATTTTTATCTGTTCGTGTTCATCAAGTCCAACATTTATATGTTAAACTATGGCATGCTGGTAAAAAGGCGCTTATGAGTTATCTCTTTTGTCGACTCAGATGTACAGAGGTCAGCTGAAGAATGGCTCCTTCGTTGCAATTAGATGCCTGAAAACGAAAAGTAGCTACGGCACTCAACATTTTATGCCTCACATAGAATTAATGTCAAAACTCAGACATCACCATTTGGTCAGCTCTCTCGGACATTGCTTTGAGTATTACTTGGATGATTCAAGTGTTAGCAGAGCATTTCTCGTCTTTGAATATGTGCCCAATGGGACTCTCAGGAGCTGGATATCTGGTAAATCCATAGATTTACATATCTTTGCTGAATTTATTCCTATCATATTAATGATAATGTATTATATCTAACCGTTTGCAATTGTTCTCTGTCTTATTTGGCAGAGAAGCACATTAAACGAAAACTTACCTGGGTACAGCGCATTGCAGCTGCCATTGGGGTAGCAAAGGGTATCCAATTCCTGCATACGGGAATTGTACCAGGTCTCTTTTCGAATAATTTCAAAATAACAGATATTTTATTGGATCAGAACCTTGCTGCAAAAATTAGCAGCTACAACCTGCCTTTGCTAGCAGAGTATGTGAGAAAAGTATGAAGAAAGAACTCAAACTTCTCCCTATTTTATTTTAGATATATTTTCTTTAACAGTCTTATTCGATGCTAAAATCTGCTCAACCTCACAGGATCATCTCCAAAATGTTCTCAGTGGATCAAACGATTTTAAAAGTGCTAGGTTTGTTCTTGTTTTCATTGATTAACATTCAAACTTGGAAATTGTTAGTCTTAAGTATTCAAGATAGCAATTCTTTGATTTTACTGAAAATTAGAGATTGTTGATTTGCAGAGTGAGACATCAGGACAAGTTCGACATTTATGACTTTGGTGTAATACTGCTAGAAATCTTTTCAGGGAAGCCGATAAATTTGAGGAACGAAGTTGAGGTTCTAAAAGATCAGGTAAGAAATAGTCTTCACTGGTATATCTGTCCTAGTATATTTGAAATTATGATGATTTTCACAGTTTTTTGATACTGTTTTCAGTTACTCGCCAGCATAACAGCCGATGATGCATCAAGTGTCGTTGATCGAGCGATCAACGGCTCGTGCTCTAATGAATCGTTAAAAACGATGATGGAGATATGTTACAGGTGTTTGCACAAGGATCCAGTCGATAGACCTTCTATCGAAGATGTGCTATGGAATTTGCAATTTGCTAGCCAGGTCCAGGATGCATCAAGAGCAGACTCCCATAGCAGTGATGGCTCTCTGATTTCACCTATGCAATCGTCGAACTTAAAGCTCACTATCAGGCAGTAGATGAAGTTTTATCGCATGCCCTTTTGTCTGGATTACACCCCAAACACAGATCAACACCACTCTCAGGTGTTTCTTTCTGACATTTCAAGATCAAGACACGGAATTAAATTCCTGAAAACTTGTCGGTTTGTCTAGTTCTTTGGAAAAGACGAGGTTTTAGCATAGATTTGAAGTCTATGTACACAACAATGAAGAATGTTATATGCTGTCATGTCATGTACTTTGTAAAATAACAATAGACGAATTTAATGTTGAAGACAATGTAAGTGTTTTTGTGTTACTTCTACAACAGGCATATCGCCATAAATGGTTGAGAACACATCATTTTCGACTCAATTACTCCCATGATACAATGATCAAGTCACTTATTCAGAAATTACAAACGATTTCTAGAAATCTCTCAGAGAAAAGGAATTGGGGGTGGAAAAAGAGAAGATCTATCATAATAGGGAGGAAGATGCACCCACATTTTGAATGTTCGGAGGGAAGCAACAGCAAGGTTTTACTCGTAAATAACACTTAGATCGATGCTAAGCACTAAACATATCGTAAATAATACTTAGATCGATGCTAAGCACTAAACATATCGTCGAAATCATTCATGTTGATCAATCAAAAGAATTGACTCATCTCTTATGCTGCACATTGAAATCAAACCAATTTGTAACAACGCTATACCATTCACATCAAACTACGCACTCGAAATCTTGGGTTCATTTTTGCTAGTTGATTTTTGGTTTCACAATTCTAACGCAACATCTAATTACAAACAAACTACAACTTTGCAGATTTAAAACCTAAAACCAACAAAAAACAAAATGAAAAATAAACATTAATTTAGACTTCATTACCATTTGCAATTCCTAATCTTGAAAAGTAGGACTTAGGTGAAAAGAGTCTTTTTGGAGAAAACATCCCCATGTACGTAGGTGAAGCCAGGCCATCAATGGACCTATAATTGGGCATTATGAACCCTTCCCTATCATCATAGGAATTGTTTGCACCATTGAATGTACTACATTTTGCCAACTTCCCAAACCACGAATTTTTCTTCGGGGATTTTTTTTGGGATCCGTTTATTTTGTCACATAAGTACTCTTTCACCACATGTAATCCATGCTCGAAAAGTTCGAGCGGGGGCCACACCAGCGGATTCCCTTCGACGCCGAGTTTCTGGAGTTTCTTAAGGCAACCAATCGACTCAGGCAAAACGGTAATTTTGTTGTAGCTGACATCCAATTCAACAAGAGAGATAAGGAGGCCTAGGGAGAATGGTAGAGTTGAAAGGTACTGGAAATTTTGGCAAATATTTAGGACTTGGAGGTTGATTAGGTTTTCGAGGTTTTTCGGGAGCGACCGGAGGCAGTTTAGGCGGGCGTCTAACACTCGGAGATTGGTTAGGTGGGAGGTGGATGACGTGAGGAATATAAGCTTGTTTGAGGTTACAGTAAGCTTTTTGAGGTTGAGAAGTTCAAATCCAATTGTGTGGCAGTTTTGTTAACTGGTTGAAGTTTGCATTCAACTCTTCCAATGATCTGCATATTACACTACTAATTGTTAGTTCATGCAAGATCGACTCATCAATCGAAGTTGCACCACGAAAATTATGTATAGAAGATAATAATGAATATGTAAATTAGGTGCGTTGAATTGAATAAGATTAACACAATGGGAAAAGAGTCGGACAGTGAGAGACATTTGTTTGTTTCGACATGCAATTGAGAATCAAGATAAGATCACAAGTAAACATTAAGCTACCTAAAATTTCTACATGAATTAATTTAGTATTATATAGCAAATAAAGGCAGAAAACAAGTCTAGGTGAAAGAAATATTGCAGAAATAAAATCAATAGTGACATGACACAATACATTTATGTTGAGACCAAAAGTTAATTAAATTTGTTGAATTGATATTCCATGTCACTATTGCTTAGTAAATAATTTCTCAATACGGAAAACTAGATAGTGACGAATGAGAGGGAAAAGAAGGGATGACAAACCTACCGTTTTCGATGGTCCTAGGAAGATATTGAAGAAGATTGCCAGATACATTCAAAACCTTGAGTTTTGACAAACAACCTATTGAATTCGGGAGGGTTTTGAGATGATTCGAGTGCACGTCCAACACGACCACATTCAGAAGCCTTGCTATTAAAGACTCCGGTATAATCTGTCAAATGAAGAAGAGAAAAAAATTTAGTAACTTATGCAGGGAAGCGCAGCTGCGTCATTCATACATAACTGGTCGTATATATTTGATAGGTAGAGTGGACATGAATATATGATAAAAGTATTTCTGTTATCTAATACAGCTATCGTTAGGTCCAATATATACCCAAAAGTACATATATAAAAGGTTTTAGAATAATATCACAACAAAAATTACATTATTATGAAATGAATATATTGATTATAATCATGCCATATTGACTTAAATAATTCTATCAAACGTATATATCGACTTCACTAAATCCTAATACTAAAATTTTAAAAGTATTCATAATATGGGAGACTCTCACCTATGAGGGGGCTTTGGTCAACTACCTATGCCGCCTATAATCACAGTCAAACTTGAGCATTTGGCTATTAACCGTAAATATGTTAAGCCTTGGGGTTTCATCTTAAAGATCAAGTTTGTTAAGAGAAGTAGCTCAATACCTTATAAATTGGTCTATGTTATCGTCTTTATTCAATGCGGGATAATATTCCTTAACAAAACACACCTTTAGATTCTAACATGAATGGTGCTAAAATAGTGGTTTCACAAAAATTGGCGATCTTTTAATTTGGAATTCGATTACATGCATCATCCATCCATCGTTACATCTATTGAAAGATATATAATAATATTAATATTTTGGGAGACTCCCATCTATGAGAGATTTTAATCAGCAACCTCTCCTGCCTATAATCAGGGTTGACCTTCACCATTTGGCTACTAAGCTTAGTACTAAAATGATAGTTACACAAAAGTTGGTGATTTTCTATCTCGAAAAATTTCCTTACATGCATCATCCAACAATCATTACATCTATTGAAAGATCTAACTGTACACAGTTACATATATTCAATGAAACAGTACCTGCAAATTATTGTTGGAAAGGTCTAATTTGCCAATGGTCCCTAAATTGAGTAGAGGATTAGGCAGTACCTCTAAAGACATTCCACTAAGATCAACGACTACGAGCTTTTGTTCTTCATTTGATACTGTTCTTCTCCTATCTTCTGGCCTCTTCTTCATGTCCATTCTCAAGTGTTGCTGCTGGTACATCATCTTTACATACAAACAAAATCTGTATGTATATATGAATATAGATACAGAAAAAAATTCTGAGGTGGGGTGAGGGTGGGGATAAGTAAGAGATCTTATATGTGAAAGAAGGGGGTTTATATAATTACATATATATAAGGGGAATTTACACAAATGTCACTAAAATTGAAAATGCAAAAAAAATTTGGAGATTCACCAATTTCTTCCAAGAATGTCAATTTTTCCTTACAAAATGTCCACTTTACCCTTTAACACTTTTTTGGAGAAATAAATGCTTGATTTGAATGCAATTAATGTTATGATGTGATTAATTTTTTTTGCTTTAAATTTAATATTGAAGATATGATATTATATTGTATAATAAGATTTTTTTTGATTAAAAAAGGGGTGAAATCTTTACAAAATACACACACACATACGAATTGAAAGAGCTTCTTCTTCTTCATCATATCCACTCCATCATCAACAAGGAAACAAGGAAAGCCATTGACAAATTTGAAAGGTAAGGTAGTAGAAAAAAGTTCATCTCATGTCATAGTTGACTACTTTAAATGTTCAATAAAATATGATCATATTTAAATGAACCATTTCAATCTCTTATTTATTGATGTAGTAAATTTTTGGTAGATTTTAGAAAGAAAAATTATACCAATATTATATAGAAAATGTGAAGTATTCCATATATAATTCAATATTTAATGAAGCATTAAGTGATACCTTGTTCATTTCTAAAAAGATACAGTGATATTGTAGTTCAGAATTTATTATGGCCTTTACCGTTTTCAATAAATTCGTCAAAGAGTGAAGCACATGGAATTTATCTTTCTCGAAAGTTATGGCAGTAGAACTGTCGAGCAGTATCTTGGAAACTGTCGGGTTAGACATTTTAACTGTCGAGCTCGACATTTACTGACTGTCGGGGATAGAAAATGTAATTGTCGATTTCGACACCTGAAAATTGATCATCTTTTATATCTTTGGAAGTACATGGATGTAAGTATTATCGTGTGCCAATTTGATGTTATGAAATGTCGACATATGAATGTGCAGAATTCTCACTTTTGCAATCCTAATATTTCAGGTATGAGTCATGATTTCAGATTCATCGTGTCGCATTGAGGAAACTTCGTTCACTCAGATGATGAATGGAAGTTGAGAGGGGACAAAACCACTTCCATTTTAGTGTCGAGAAGTATTACCATAGCAGAACTTCTGTTACGATTGAAGGAGAAACTTGGTATCGTTGAATCCCGCAATGCAATTGAATTGAAGTTCAAAGTCCCGAACTTGAATCTACCTCCGGCAGAGATACGCGACAATGAGGATCTACAGTGGTACATATCTGTTCATAAGGAAACTGCACTCTGCATCACATATTTGGTATCCGAGCTCCCATTTGTTGGTATGGCAACAGATGCAAACTGTGAAGGGAACTTGTTCGGCCCAATGGAATGTCCACTGAATGACGAGATGAATCATCAGCACAGTGTGTCGCAAACCGAACCACCCGAACCTCCAATTGAGCGTATAGAGGCTGCAGCATCTGCCGAACACTTAGAGAACCCATTACATGGTACAGATCGTGCTATTATTGCTGAAATAGACGAGACAATGTCATCAAATTCTAGATGTTCGTGCACAGATGAGTGGATTACAGCTGCAAATACATCGATTCTCGCCGAGAAGCAAATATTCTTTACCAAGAAACAGTTGTACTCGAAGCTTCATGTACTTTCTTTGCAAGAGAAGTTCCAATTCCGGGTAAGTAGGTCAATCTTGAAAATGTTAACAGTCGTCTGTGTGGATGATAATTACAAGTGGATGCTACGTGCTTCTACTGTCAAGCAATCTGCAATTTTTATGATCCGTAAGTTCGTTGCAGTTCACACATGTTCCCTTGATTTTCGTCGTAACGCACATCGGCATGCCACTAGTGCTGTAATTGCGGAGCACATTTTGGGAAAATTGGATACTCCATACCAATCATATCCGCCTACTCATATTGCACGTGATACGGAACGTGAGTTTGGTGTGAAAAACAGTTATA